ATCTTCACTGGGTCTGACGTTGAACAGCTTCGTATTCCCACATGAGTGTGAACACATTGCGTCGTGTAAGATGTAAACAAACACCAATCTAGTCAAAGTTTTATGATGACAGCGACCTTACAATGCCTGAATCTAGTCAAAGTTTTATGATGACAGCGACCTTACAATGCCTGAATCTAGTCAAAGTTTTATGATGACAGCGACCTTACAATGCCTGAATCTAGTCAAATTTTTATGATGACAGTGACCTTACAATGCCTGAATCTAGTCAAAGTTTTATGATGACAGTGACCTTACAATGCCTGAATCTAGTCAAAGTTTTATGATGACAGTGACCTTACAATGCCTGAATCTAGTCAAAGTTTTATGATGACAGTGACCTTACAATGCCTGAATCTAGTCAAAGTTTTATGATGACAGTGACCTTACAATGCCTGAATCTAGTCAAAGTTTTATGATGACAGCGACCTTACAATGCCTGAATCTAGTCAAAGTTTTATGATGACAGTGACTTTACAATGCCTGAATCTAGTCAAAGTTTTATGATGACAGTGACCTTACAATGCCTGAATCTAGTCAAAGTTTTATGATGACTGTGACCTTACAATGCCTGAATCTAGTCAAAGTTTTATGATGACAGTGACCTTACAATGCCTGAATCTAGTCAAAGTTTTATGATGACAGTGACCTTACAATGCCTGAATCTAGTCAAAGTTTTATGATGACAGTGACCTTACAATGCCTGAATCTAGTCAAAGTTTTATGATGACAGCGACCTTACAATGCCTGAATCTAGTCAAAGTTTTATGATGACAGTGACCTTACAATGCCTGAATCTAGTCAAAGTTTTATGATGACAGCGACCTTACAATGCCTGAATCTAGTCAAAGTTTTATGATGACAGCGACCTTACAATGCCTGAATCTAGTCAAAGTTTTATGATGACTGTGACCTTACAATGCCTGAATCTAGTCAAAGTTTTATGATGACAGTGACCTTACAATGCCTGAATCTAGTCAAAGTTTTATGATGACAGTGACCTTACAATGCCTGAATCTAGTCAAAGTTTTATGATGACAGCGACCTTACAATGCCTGAATCTAGTCAAAGTTTTATGATGACAGTGACCTTACAATGCCTGAATCTAGTCAAAGTTTTATGATGACAGCGACCTTACAATGCCTGAATCTAGTCAAAGTTTTATGATGACAGTGAACTTACAATGCCTGAATCTAGTCAAAGTTTTATGATGACTGTGACCTTACAATGCCTGAATCTAGTCAAAGTTTTATGATGACAGTGACCTTACAATGCCTGAATCTAGTCAAAGTTTTATGATGACAGTGACCTTACAATGCCTGAATCTAGTCAAAGTTTTATGATGACTGTGACCTTACAATGCCTGAATCTAGTCAAAGTTTTATGATGACAGTGACCTTACAATGCCTGAATCTAGTCAAAGTTTTATGATGACAGTGACCTTACAATGCCTGAATCTAGTCAAAGTTTTATGATGACTGTGACCTTACAATGCCTGAATCTAGTCAAAGTTTTATGATGACAGTGACCTTACAATGCCTGAATCTAGTCAAAGTTTTATGATGACAGTGACCTTACAATGCCTGAATCTAGTCAAAGTTTTATGATGACAGTGACCTTACAATGCCTGAATCTAGTCAAAGTTTTATGATGACAGTGACCTACAATGCCTGAATCTAGTCAAAGTTTTATGATGACAGCGACCTTACAATGCCTGACTGGTTTGCGCATTGTTATTTGAAAAATGTGGCCTGTTTCTTCGGGACGACAATAGTTCGTGTAATTATTTCAATGCGTTATTGTGTGTCATTGTGTGTTATGTGTTACGTGTGTTTTAAATGTGTTCATCCCATGGCGTGTTATGTGTGTAGGCGTGTATGTGTTTTTCCCCATAGCGTGTCAAAAGGTTACTGATAACACCAGGTGAACAATGAGATTAAATCAGAAAACAGGCAAAAGTTTTCTTCAGCCCAAACAAGAAAACAGGCAAAAGTTTTCTTTAGCCCAAACAAGAAAACAGGCAAAAGTTTTCTTTAGCCCAAACAAGAAAACAGGCAAAAGTTTTCTTTAGCCCAAACAAGAAAACAGGCAAATTTATTTAGCCCTTCCTTTGTGTAGCGTTTCTCTACATCCTGTGCCCAATGAAGATCTAGCTGGTAAATCAGGGGTTAAACGTCATACAGCTGTTTGTGATCATTCTACATTATGCAACTTCTGTCACGATTGTACATCATACATCTGTCATCTGTCACGATTGACATCTTTTCCCCTCTTGCCTGAGGCTAAAACACACACACACACACACACACACACACACAGACACACACACACACACACACACACACACACACGTATACATACACAAACACACGTACATACACATCCTCACACACCTTCATTAAATTTACGGTAAAAATTTGTGATAGATGTGGTCAGGACCTGAGATAGATGTGGTCAGGACCTGAGATAGATGTGGTCAGGACCTGGGATAGATGTGGTCAGGACATTGGGATAGATGTGGTCAGGACATTGGGATAGATGTGGTCAGGACATTAGGATAGATGTGGTCAGGACCTGGGATAGATGTGGTCAGGACCTGGGATAGATGTGGTCTTAACTTGGGATAGATGTGGTCAGGACCTGGGATAGATGTGGTCTTAACTTGGGATAGATGTGGTCAGGACCTGGGATAGATGTGGTCAGGACCTGGGATAGATGTGGTCAGGACATTGGGATAGATGTGGTCAGGACATTAGGATAGATGTGGTCAGGACCTGGGATAGATGTGGTCAGGACCTGGGATAGATGTGGTCTTAACTTGGGATAGATGTGGTCAGGACCTGGGATAGATGTGGTCAGGACCTGGGATAGATGTGGTCAGGACCTGGGATAGATGTGGTCTTAACTTGGGATAGATGTGGTCAGGACCTGGGATAGATGTGGTCAGGACCTGGGATAGATGTGGTCAGGACCTGGGATAGATGTGGTCAGGACCTGGGATAGATGTGGTCAGGGCCTGGGATAGATGTGGTCAGGACATTGGGATAGATGTGGTCAGGACCTGGGATAGATGTGGTTAGGACATTGGGATAGATGTGGTCAGGACATGAGATAAATGTGGTCAGGACATTGGGATAGATGTGGTCAGGAACTGGGATGGATGTGGTCAGGACCTGGGATAGATGTGGTCAGAACCTAGGATAGATGTGGTCTTAAGTTGGGATAGATGTGGTCAGGACCAGGGATAGATGTGGTCAGGGCCTGGGATAGATGTGGTCAGGACATTGGGATAGATGTGGTCAGGACTTGGGATAGATGTGGTTAGGACATTGGGATAGATGTGGTCAGGACCTGGGATAGATGTGGTCAGAACCTAGGATAGATGTGGTCTTAAGTTGGGATAGATGTGGTCAGGACCTGGGATAGATGTGGTCAGGACCTGGGATAGATGTGGTCAGGACATTAGGATAGATGTGGTCAGGACCTGGGATAGATGTGGTCAGGACCTGGGATAGATGGGGTCTTAAGTTGGGATAGATGTGGTCAGGACATTAGGATAGATGTGGTCAGGACCTGGGATAGATGTGGTCAGGACCTGGGATAGATGTGGTCAGGACCTGGGATAGATGTGGTCTTAAGTTGGGATAGATGTGGTCAGGACATTAGGATAGATGTGGTCAGGACCTGGGATAGATGTGGTCAGGACATGGGATAGATGTGGTCAGGACATTAGGATAGACGTGGTCAGGACATTAGGATAGATGTGGTCAGGACCTGGGATAGATGTGGTCAGGACCTGGGTTAGATGTTGTCAGGACCTGGGATAGATGTGGTCAGGACCTGGGATAGATGTGGCCAGGACCTGGGATAGATGTGGTCAGGACCTGGGATAGATGTGGTCAGGACCTGGGATAGATGTGGTCAGGACCTGGGATAGATGTGGTCAGGACCTGGGATAGATGTGGTCAGGACCTGGGATAGATGTGGTCTGGACCTGGGATAGATGTGGTCAGGACCTGGGATAGATGTGGTCAGGACCTGGGATAGATGTGGTCAGGACCTGGGATAGATGTGGTCAGGACCTGGGATAGATGTGTTCAGGACCTGGGATAGATGTGGTCTGGACCTGGGATAGATGTGGTCAGGACCTGGGATAGATGTGGTCAGGACCTGGGATAGATGTGGTCAGAACCTGGGATAGATGTGGTCAGGACCTGGGATAGATGTGGTCTTAACTTGGGATAGATGTGGTCAGGACCAGGGATAGATGTGGTCAGGACCTGGGATAGATGTGGTCAGAACATTAGGATAGATGTGGTCAGGACCTGGGATAGATGTGGTTAGGACATTGGGATAGATGTGGTCAGGACCAGGGATAGATGTGGTCAGGAACTGGGATAGATGTGGTCAGGACCTGGGATAGATGTGGTCAGGACCTGGGATAGATGTGGTCAGGGCATTAGGATAGATGTGGTCAGGACCTGGGATAGATGTGGTCAGGACCTGGGATAGATGTGGTCAGGGCATTAGGATAGATGTGGTCAAGACATTGGGTTATATGTGGTCAAGACATTGGGATAGATGAGATTGGGATAGATGTGGTCTTAATTTGGGATATATAGATAGATAGATGTAGTGTGGACAAGGAACATCTTGTTCTATTACAATGTGGTTCCTTGTATTCCTACGCTACGAGTCTAGTCCATGGCTATGGAACGGTTCTGCTACATGGATCACGTGACCAGTCTGTGTGTGTCTCAAGCAGCGCCACATACCGTCACAAGCAGGCCTAGGATTTGGGTCACTGGCGCACTACAAAGTTGTCTCAACCGAAAAAAACCTCTATTCAGGAAATATTTCAATAGTTTCGCATTTTTAGGCCCCCTTAAAATTACCCAACACATTCCCGCGACCATCAGTAAAGATATCGACACACCCACAATTACATTTATTAATAGGAATCTCTTTGAGGGCGGGGCGTCATTTTTGACATGTGACGTCACTGGCCTGTAACAGAACGGATTAAGGGAAGTAAGCAAGATCAGACGGGGACATTTATTGCTTAAATTTTTAGACGGGCTTGTAGCGTGTTTGGCTGGTTATTCCTGCTACAACTGGAGGTTAGGTTGTTTAATTTTTAGACCTGGTTGAGGTATAGGCGATTGTTTTTTTAAGTTTGTTTCGTGGTTGTAAAACTCTACGTGTGTGATCAACCATCGATTTTATTGATAGGTAAGGTCAAACTGGTGGCTATTGAATGAGCTATTTCTTAAGGTTTATTTTGTAATTACACGTGGAACTATGGCTTCAGATGGCTGATGATGTGTACGTTCGTAGATTGTTGTCTCATGCTAATGAGTTGTTGTGTTAAAATCTGTTTATGACTGATTAATTATAAGCAGACGTTGCAACAACATCTCTATGTCTCGAGGTTGTATCAACACCTCCATGTGTAAAGGTTGTATCAACACCTCCATGTGTAGAGGTTGTATCAACACCTCCATAGAGGTTGTATCAACACCTCCATGTGTAAAGGTTGTATCAACACCTCCATGTGTAGAGGTTGTATCAACACCTCCATAGAGGTTGTATCAACACCTCCATGTCTAGAGGTTGTATCAACACCTCCATAGAGGTTGTATCAACACCTCCATAGAGGTTGTATCAACACCTCCATGTCTAAAGGTTGTATCAACACATCCATAGAGGTTGTATCAACACCTCCATGTCTAGAGGTTGTATCAACACCTCCATATCTAGAGGTTGTATCAACACCTCCATGTCTAGAGGTTGTATCAACACCTCCATGTCTAGAGGTTGTATCAACACCTCCATGTCTAGAGGTTGTATCAACACCTCCATGTCTAGAGGTTGTATCAACACCTCCATGTCTAGAGGTTGTATCAACACCTCCATGTCTAGAGGTTGTATCAACACCTCCATGTCTAAAGGTTGTATCAACACCTCCATGTGTAGAGGTTGTATCAACACCTCCATAGAGGTTGTATCAACACCTCCATGTCTAGAGGTTGTATCAACACCTCCATAGAGTTTGTATCAACACCTCCATAGAGGTTGTATCAACACCTCCATAGAGGTTGAATCAAGACCTCCATGTCTAGAGGTTGTATCAACACCTTCATGTCTAAAGGTTGTATCAACACCTCCATGTCTAGAGGTTGTATCAACACCTCCATGTCTAGAGGTTGTATCAACACCTCCATGTCTAAAGGTTGTATCAACACCTCCATGTCTAGAGGTTGTATCAACACCTCCATAGAGGTTGAATCAAGACCTCCATGTCTAGAGGTTGTATCAACACCTTCATGTCTAAAGGTTGTATCAACACCTCCATGTCTAGAGGTTGTATCAACACCTCCATGTCTAGAGGTTGTATCAACACCTCCATGTCTAAAGGTTGTATCAACACCTCCATAGAGGTTGTATCAACACCTCCATGTCTAGAGGTTGTATCAACACCTCCATGTCTAGAGGTTGAATCAAGACCTCCATATCTAGTGGTTGTATCAACACCTCCATGTCTAGAGGTTGTATCAACACCTTCATGTCTAAAGGTTGTATCAACACCTCCATAGAGGTTGTATCAACACCTCCATGTCTAGAGGTTGAATCAAGACCTCCATGTCTAGAGGTTGTATCAACACCTTCATGTCTAAAGGTTGTATCAACACCTCCATGTCTAGAGGTTGTATCAACACCTCATGTCTAGAGGTTGTATCAACACCTCCATATCTAGTGGTTGTATCAACACCTCCATGTCTAGAGGTTGAATCAAGACCTCCATGTCTAGAGGTTGTATCAACACCTTCATGTCTAAAGGTTGTATCAACACCTCCATGTCTAGAGGTTGTATCAACACCTCCATGTCTAGAGGTTGTATCAACACCTCCATAGAGGTTGTATCAACACCTCCATAGAGTTTGTATCAACACACCATGTGTAGAGGTTGTATCAACACCTCCATATCTAGAGGTTGTGCTATCTAGTCAAGTGGTCCCAGTAGGTGTGTGTCTACATTGTTATCGTTGGTTATTGATCTCCTGCTCTCTTCCATTGATCTCTGAAGTGATTGATTTCCGTTTTAATTGTACAGTTTTTATGACATTTGTAGAATGTCAAGTATAATAACAACACAGTATTTATTTTGAAATTAGAATGAGAATGAGTATCAAGGTGTAAAACAGCTTTGGCCTCAATGTTATCGTCAGCTCATTATGGGGGTCTATCATAAATGACATAAATGGGGGGGGGGGAGGATTTTTGTCACAATTTGGTATTTATAAAGTAGACTTTCCACATTTAGTATTTTACATTCAACATTATTTCTGTCACTTGAAATAAAAGTGCTCATTACACCCAAATATTGACCTGGTTCAGGTAATGCTTCGGTTCATTCGTTTTTAACAACGGTTTTATTTTCTGAGAAATATTTCATTCTTCTTAAAATAATTTAATTTAGAAAAATATTTTTGAGCTGTTTTCAGCCGGCTTATCAATCGGCCGACATCTTAATCTCACAACCTAATCGATACCGAAAAGTCTAACGGAAATCGATCTGTATTCAGCTATACAGTGTGGGGTAGGTGTAGTGTGTGTTGGGGGGGGGGGGGACGTTATTGTAACGTGTACAATATAGACACCAAACCACAGCTCTAGCTAGATGTGCTGCCGCATCGATTTTGGGGTGGGGGGGGGCTCAATATTATTTCAAAAATAACTCTTGTATGTTGCACTCGAATGATATATAATTTTAGGGGGGCGAACGATGCTGATTAATTAAGGCGGTGCACATAAAGTCACTAAAGGTTTTCTATAACTGCGCATGGAAAAATTAGCCCAATAGACTGGAGCTGAGACTTGTTTTGTTTTTTCTGACAAGAATGGATGGGCTCAGTGAGAGATGACACGGAGCTGTTAGACTGGGTTGTCTCTCCTCATTTAGACTGGTCTCGGTTGTCTATCCTCGTCATTCATGTTTACATTAGAATATAAAATATGGCTAAAGAATTATTGGTAGCTGTTGGAGGGGCGGAGGGGGGGGGGGAGTAGAAGTAGATGTTGTAAAGCAAAAATAACTCCACACAGATATGGACTGTTGATATGTTAATTGTGTTAATGTTGTTTATTATTGTGAAGGGTGTTTATTATTGTGAAGGGTGTTTATTATTGTGAAGGGTGTTTATTATTGTGAATGGTGTTTATTATTGTTATATCTGAGATTCAAAACTTGGCATCGTTTATTTAGTTGAACACTTCAAACCTTTCTGACATTTGATGTGACAGTTTTTGTCATGTTCTTCACCTTCTGTCTAAGTTAATTCATTCAAATTTTAAACTTTCTGTTTTAGGAAAGTGAGAGTTGTCCCCCTTGACAAGAGACCATCTGATCATGATGGCTAATTGTAGACGTTGTAACAGATAGAGGGATGTAGAGAGTCACAGATGGGATCTGCTCACAGTTTGTCTGCCCATGGATGACACAGTTTCTGCTTTCTTTAACTCTTACATATCTGGATAAACCTTTTTGGCAATTTGATTGTAAATAAAATAATATAAATAAAAAACTATTGCAAAACTGGACATTTGGATACAATTTTGAAAAATTGGATGAATCTTTGCGGATTTCTTGAAACGATTGAATACATGGATAAGATTGGCACGTGTGGATAAGATAAGCACATGTGGATAAATATTTCAATAGCTGTATAAAGAACCCGCTGTTGTGTTGTGTGACACTTCTAAAGAATCCAGCAGTTTAAAAAAAAACATACAGCTGGTTGTGGGCTTTAAAACATCTTTACATAGTATGTGTGTAGGCCTATATGGTAGCGCATGCGCACTTATATATATATATATATATATATATATATATATATAATGTATGCATATAAATAAGACTGTATATACACGCCTATATCTGTGTTTATTAGAGTGTGTGGGTGTTTTGATATATCTGGTGTTATGTATGGCAAGTTTGATGTTTTATTGTACCAACCAGGCTTATAACATCGGTATGTACGCTTACACCTATCTCGTGTGTATTAGCTGAGGCTCGGCTATCCCGACACGCAACTCCTTGCTATAGAACAGGTAAAAAACTCCCGGCTATAGTACAGGTAAACAAAACAACTCATGCGGAACGTTTCAGTTGGTGCAAAAAAGTTTTTCAACTGTTTATTTAAATTGCTATTTTATTATTATTTCGCCGATATTAATAAGTCTGTAGAGGTTTTAATATTTTATGATGTCGAGCAGTTTAAAAAAAATGTTTTGGTTAAAGTGACAGAGCAGATGAATTGTGTGAAAATATTTGGTTGAAATTTATTTTACACGATTTAGACACGACGTCTGTTCCTGTATAATCCACCCACGATATATATATATATATATATATATATATATATATATATATATATATATATATATATATATATATATATATATATATATTTACTTGCATATATATACTACGGCTAAGGTCTTAAGTGTGGCCGGTGCGGTTTGCCAATGTCCGAATTATGATTTGGTGTGATGGTGTTTTTATAATTCTAGAAGAAGTTTCGTTGTAGTTAACGCTGTTAACTTGAACCTAAGTTTGCTTGATTGTTAGTATTATATTAATTCGGACATTGGCCGGTCAATGTGATACAGGCCGTATTGGAATGTGCACGTTCTACAACAACAAATTTATGAATGTATCAAACGAGTTTTAGCTTTACAGATTTTATATTTACAATACATGAAATCAAGCAATTTAAAAAAAAACTGATCTTGCCCCAGCCATATAAAACTGAACTCTTTTTGACGCGGGATTACGCGTGATTACACGTGATTACACGTGATTCAAAGTCGTCTTGACTTGATTATTTACGGCCACACTTGAGTAGTTTGCGAACTCGGCCCGATAATCGATATTGTACAACAATATTTACAGCCAGATCTAAAACGTGAGTACTTCATAACGGACCCTGAAGAAATGAGCGGCTGATTTATTTTCAGATGTCTGAGGGCGA